ATGCCAATTGACTGTGAAGATATTCAAAAAGAAGACTACCAAACAACTGGTGTCTATACAATATACCCGTACGGAGGACCGAAAGGAATATCTGTTCGCTGCGATATGGATACATCGATTGGCGGATGGACTGTTATCCAAAGAAGAGTTTCCGATAGTAACTTTTATCAAAATTGGGATATGTATGAAAGAGGGTTTGGTGAACTCGACGGAAACTTTTGGCTTGGTAATCGCTTCATACACCTGATCACAAGTCAGGCAAAATACGAACTTCGTGTTGACTTGGTGAGTTCTACTGGGGAAATGGCCTATGCTGAGTACAAAGAATTTTCGGTTGGAGATGTCTTGTCTGGCTACAGGCTGTATGTTGACAAGTTTAGTGGTACGGCTGGTGACAGTTTATCCTATCATAATAGAATGCCATTTTCTACCTTTGATCGGGACAATGACCAAGACAGTATTAACTGTGCTGTGGTACGTCACGGTGCTTGGTGGTATAAAGAGTGTCTTCATTCCAACCTCAATGGAGACTATGGTAACAGTAAGGCATATATAGGCCCAATTTGGTACCACTGGAAGGGAGCTACAGACCCTATGAAGAATGTAGAAATGAAAATTCGCCGAGTAAAATAGTTTTGCATATATTATTCTATGACTGAATTAAAGCAGTAACTCATCATACTTTTATGTCATAACACTACCTGTATGTTTGACCTTTGTGTTTAGTAATATAAACATATATGAACGCTAAGTAGTAAAATACAGCTTTAAGAGCATTCATTAGATTCATGTATAAATGCATGAAAACATATTTTAACTACAAAATTAATAGGATCTGGTAAATATTGGGTAAGGTCTTCTGCCCGTATTGCGATTTTCACTTGCTTGACTAGTCCTGTTATGTCTTGGACAATAGTGGGATCATATTGTGAAATAATTGTTCACTTTGTGATTTGGCTATATGGACCAATTCTTTTCAATTTTAGCTATGGGCCAATCTTCAAACATCAAAATCGCCGCCATTTTCGAGATGGCCGCCAAGAATGTAACAATAAGTGACACTAAAAATACTGTTTGATAAATTCATAAATAGTTATTAAATTTATTAATTATATTTTGCACACATATAAATCAGTGTTTGTCTCTAATAAGATTTGAATTTAATGCTGCATTTATTTAAAATGTCTTCCAAAATGGCCGCGAAATGCATAAAAAGTGTTTTTTTTTTATGTTTCAAAGTTATTCGTGCATTCATTACTTCTATTTTGATTGTGTATCACTCGCAGTCATAAATACGTTTAACAAACCAAGAATTTTACTAACTACCTCGTAAATTATTACTCAGACCCTGAACTGCGCCCATAAGTCTATCCTCGGTCACAGTCTCCACCACACAGACAAACAAAGAGCTGTGCACAGCAGGTCATCTTCGATACATGTATAGACCCCACACGACAACCAATCTGGGTACTACATCTTCACTTCAGTAACTCCTGACAAGACTCGAATGCCTGTTGTAATTTTGTCCAGAAAGGCTCCCGTGCATTATCCTGACCTTTCACCCAACACCAGTTACTTTGACAATGAAGTTCGGGGAGGGCAAAAGCGGAACATTCAGTTTAAAGAAATCGATCTGATTTTATTTTATTCTATTAATAAATCTTTAGGCCCCCGGCTATGCTCTTTTTTATCGGAGCTAAAATAATTTAACTGCGGTTTAAATCATATTCATGCGGGAGATTATTAAATATTTATAATGAATGAAATAAGAGCGTCCAAAGCAGGCCTTCACGCTTACACACAAGGGAATTTGAGGTAATTCACTGTCCCACATTATTTTATGTGAAGCTGGCTTCACATGGTTTTATGTGAAGTTGGCATACTTTACATGCTGGGAAATGTGAACTTGTACACTTTTTTCAGTGAAGTCTGAGTAGTATATAATATGAAAAACAAGATCAACAAGGAAAGGCGGCGTTCAATGAACGCAACCCCCATATGACCCAGCAACAAGAACCAATGGCAAGGAGCCCAGGCGGACCCCAAACATAAAAAGGACAGGGCAACGACACGTTAATCATTAAATGATAAATAATTTGTAACTGATTAGGAATTCAAAGAAAATAATAATAGGCCCACAAAGGGGAAGGGGACAGGATACCGGGGGAAGGGGGGGGGGGTTAATCAAAGAAATAAAAACTAGAGGCAATGGGGAAGATACTTACCGAAGACGAGAAAACAACAAGGGACACAAGCAAAAGTGTCACCAAAACAGTATGAAACAACATAGACATACATCTGAGGAACACAGTGGGGCGCCGCCTTGGAACGGTCAGCAGCATAATAATGACTGCTGGGGAGTTTAAACCGGTTAATGGTGCACCAAACCTCGCTCTTAGCCCCACCATGTTCCTATAAACTGACGTGAGTTCATTTGCAGGGACACACACGTAAACATCTTGCCAAGTACAGTTTTTATTCAATAAACAACAACAAATCTTTAAGATACTTAATTATTTTTTACAAGTCATTACGAAGAATTATCATTTTTGATAGGTGATGTTTTAAGTATTGTGCTGTGTTGTTGACGTAAGATGTTCTTATATTAATTTCTCATAAAATATATTTGTGATTGACTGTTGTAAGAGAATATAATAATTTGCGTTTATCTAATAAATAAATTTCACTTATAAGTTTACTGCAAGACTTAGTTTTTAATATATCAATTGGTTTATCACTAGACTTAGTTTTAAATAGAAAGTAAAGCTGAAAGTTGACCAATATCACTACAGTACTAATAACAGTTATTGCCCATTGTTATCCAAGTTCGGAATCCATGTCTCGAGCTACCATTTGTGATTGCCTGATGTTTGTGTCCAAATGCCGTAACAATAGATTATATTTACATTTTTGCCTGTACGTCCATCTGTCCGTCTCTTCGATGATTTCATCACGCATGAACCTGGATACTAGTTCAAAATCTTACGACCAATTTCTATTTTAAGAGAAATCTTGAAATAAATCTTCTTTCCTCAAAATATCATAAGAAGGTCTATAAAGCAAAATCTGTCGTAACTTTACGATAGGTGTTCCTCATTCGTAAGTGTATTTAATTGTCTTTTAACACGTAAAATCACGTATCAGAACAGAAGCATACAAAAATGGAAAAACAAATATAGGCTATATGCAAACATTATGTTGAAATATTGTACAAATATGTTTTTTTTAAACTGATGAATATGATGTGATATGTACTAGCAATTTTATATTGACCTCGGCGATAGCCGAGGTCAATATTTATTTTTCACTTCAAAGATAAATCACATCATATTCATCCGGTAAAAAGTACATATATGTTTTTTATATGATTTATTTAACTCGCTTTTATATGGGATATTAAATCTGCCATTGAATACGACAGAAATCGACGTTTTTTTCCAGTTAGATAACTATTCCATTATTTGGCGCTGTATTTTAATGGGCATTGACACGCAAAATTAAATTTTTTAAAGAGGATAGATATCTTAATCTTAAATAATATATATTGGACTTGTATTTGCAAAACGTTTTTCAAAAATAATAACAACAAACTTAACGTGACGTCACGTTATAGCTCACGTTTTTTCTGGACTTTCCAGAAAATATATTTCTAAAAAACAAAAACATTGAATTGATATCTATAATATGAAAATCTATATTTTCGGTAAAAACGGTTAATTATTCGACCAAAGGGTCGCTATAACCAGCGATTCAGAAGGAATCTAAGCGATCAAATGTCCTTTGAAATATAATAAAAAAAATCTGTATCAACAGTCAAGTATTGAATGTATGAAGGAAGTTTAGAACGTAAACACTGCTTTAAATAATTCAAAGGTTATTTACCTTTAGAAAAACAAAACGTTGCCACATATCTCTATTGTAAACAAATTGTTTATATTTTTTTTCAGTTTTGTTTCAACATACCTAAACATGAGATATAATCAAGGAAAATATCGCTTTAAAAATGATCTGTTTGACGGTAAAACAAACACTACAAGGTCCCTGAAAAATTATAATTTTACAAGTGCGCAATATGTCAGAAGAGACTTATTGTTTTTAACAATTTTCCCTCAACTTTACCCTTTCAAATTTCATCGAGTTAATATTAATGCCTTACAAGTCTGGCTAGATTTGACTAGCACAGTAAATGTATTTAATGTAGATGAGGTGAAGGTAGATGAGGTGTTTTAAAAATGTTGACCGGTGGGTTCCACTCTGTTGCCCTTGAGCAATTTTCGACAAAAATAAGATGATGCCCAAGATGGCGGATATTGATGAAAAATAGATAAATAGCTTAGGATTTTGTATTGAAATATAACAATAGTAAAAGAGATGATACTGTTATAATTAAAATTTTGATGAAATTGAAAATATTATTTTAGACTCATGTATCAAATTATTGGAAGTGTAAAAGCATTAAATTTACATAAAGCAACATGTGGCCCCTTGTTCCACAATACTTAGTTAACGGTCTAAATGTTTTGTTCCGAAGGAACAGAAACAAATATAACAACACACAGTGGAGCGGAGCAACTTTTAACACCTGCGATACGGCATTTGACATCTGCTGTTTTGAAGTATATACATCTAAAAAGGACATGAAAAAAGCATATAACGACAAACATTGCACTAATATTTTGAATTGTACACAGAAAAATAACACCATGTTTCTTGTTTATTTGGAATTCACTAGAAAAAATATCTTATATTGTCTGTTTAAAATAGCTTCATGGCAATGTAAACCTTGTTAGCTATCAATAGCGCTGTTATATTTACGGTCCTTCTGGACCATTGATTCCAATGCTTTAGGTGTTCAATACTGCTTAATTGAGTCGGTGTAAAGATACGTTGCACCTTTTCATAGTCAGTACCGGAAATGGCAAGCTATTGTCCTCTAGCACTGGTTTAAGCAGAATTTAATGATCAATTTTGGAATTTAGAAACATCATCAGATGTGTTCATACGGCTGTTATCATAGAACTTTTAATATGACACGTTAGTGCCACTCCACAAAAAGCGGTGTATGGTCCCCAAATAAAGAATACGTGTGTCGTAAACGAAAAAACAATGGGCGGAACTGAAGAAAATGGATTTTTGGAAGGGGACCAAATGTTATGAAGACCAAATATCACAGATAAGCTACCACAATACCAATTTAAAAAGCTGACAATATATCCTAAGGGCGACTATATACAGTATTCAAGTAGGAAATACCGGAATCCTCGAAAAAGCAAAAACCAAATAGAAAAAAGATCTAACAATACCATCAACTCATCAATAATTACGCGCCCTCCTGACATATGTCTTGTTTTAACAAGATTCTACCGAATATTTGCAAGATCATCGATTATGTTATATATCTATATTTTGTTTTTTTTAGTGTTTTTAAACATTTAAACATATATATTTTTATAAAAAATTAATGCTCTCTTATCAAAGTGCAAAACTTTTAGACACGACATCTGCCATTTTATCTTATATTTAAAGAGCCTTTTTTCTTTTAAAAATCTGGAAGTAAAGTGATCCCTCTGAAGTTATGTACAACAATTACATGTATGTTAAACATTACTCGGCAGCAATAAAATCGTATTTTTGTTTAAACATAGTTTAAACAAATTCACAGTTTATATACAAATAATACCAGTAATAATGTACACAATACAAACATGAATTGTTGAAAAAAAGATTGGGCCCAAAACCTGAGCTTATGAAGTTCTTCTCCTTATAGATTTATAGTGTAGAAAATAAGGTATGACAGTATACGTTACTTACTTGAAATATATCTGATTTTACATTCTTTTTTTGTGTCGCCTCTACGGAGTAGTGGCGACAAATAGGGATCACTTCTCCGTCGTCTGTCTGTCCGTCTGTCTGTCTGTCTGTCTGTCCATCCGTCCGTCACAAAACTTGTCCGGACTACTCCTCATAAACTACTGGTGCAATTTCATCCAAACTTTACAGGAATGATCAGTACCAAGTCTAGTTGTGCATATTGTCAGCATTTTCCGGTTCAATGATTTTTGTTTGAGTTATGGCCCTTTAATAATTTTTATTTTTAAAGTTTGTCCAGACTACTTCTCTTATACCACTTATGCAATTTCAATGAAACTTTACAGGATTGATCTGTAGCTCAAGTCCTTGCGCATATTGCACGGGTTTTCCGGTTGAATGATTTTTGGCCTAGTTATGGCCCTTTGATAAAAAGGTGTTTTTTTCTGTGTGTTGCCAGATACGCAAAAGCTTGTCCGGACTACTCCTCATAAACTACTGGTGCAATTTTATCCAAATTTTACAGGAATGATCAGTACAAAGTGGTTAGTCTAGTTGTGCACTGTCCGTCTGTCTGTCCGTCTGTCACAAAATTTGTCCCAACATGAAATTGGCCATCATGAGGCGACACATGTGATTACTGATCGCTCTTGTAAGTAAGTAAAGTCAAAATTGTTTCTAACATTTAAAATTGTATTAAAGGGAAAAAGAGAGAAGTGAATTATCGGATAGGAACTAGAAATGTGTAAATAGGGCATATACCCTAAAGTGTGCTTTAAAATAAATAAAAACAAGCAAAACCCAAATGCAAAACTAACAAAAATGACCAACATTTCTGTTAAGTTTCATGACTATAAGTCAAATACTTTTTAGGCTACGCATGACACAAGTTGAACATTGCAATTCTTTACTAAGTTAAGGGCATTTACTCTACTGAACAGTTCTATAAGCAAACCTCACAAAGAAACATGCTGTCCAAAATTTCTGTAAAGTTCCACGATTCTAGGTCAGATAATTTTTGAGCTACGCACGACACAAATTAAAACAAATGCCCATTTATACTAATTCAATAGCAATAACTCAACACAAATTGAATTGATCCACACGCGAAACTCCAGGTGTACAGCAGTTTAAATGCAATCCCTCCTCTTCGATGTATCCGACACACCCTCAAATATTCACCCATTGTACCAAATGAAAAATCTAAAACGACAGTTGAAATATGACCCCGGGATTTGCCAATATTGAACCCAAAGTCACGATTATGTCAGTTTTGCGGGCCAATTTTTTGTCGGGAAGCCCAAACCTGTTCTGCACATCGTCTCATGAAAAAAATGATTTATGTCAAAAAGTTTTCATATCTTTCTTCCGGCTTAAAAGATACAGAGCGGACACGAATTTGAGAATGTATACAAAATATCTGATTGTGACCTTGACCTAAGGATTTTTATTTTTTTGAAATATCTAGTAAAATAAATGCTCCTAAACTAATACACTATACACAATGCAAACATATTGTCTACTTTTTAGTCAGTCTTTTTTATGTAGAAGCCAATTGACCCGTGTTTTTCTTTGTATACACGTTACTTTAAATTTTGTATCGAACCAGCTGTTATTACCAGTAAAGCATGCTATTGTCGTTTACATTTCAGGAACATCAAAGAAAAACCGCCGCATACCCATGCAATAATCACAAATTATTTTTAAATTGGCGATGTACTAAAATCAAAATGATCAAAAATTAAAAGCATATATCTTCATATTTCATAAAGAGATCAGAAAGAGTTTTCCTTATAGACTTGTTTCTTAGAAGTTATTTTCATGGGAATTTAATTTTCTTCAAAAATCTGTAAAATTTAAATCTTAGAAGTATGTAATATGTTCCATAAATGTTAAGGTTTTTCAAATTGTATCAATTTGATAATCACGTAAATTCGTTTTTTTAATTTTTAGATGATTAAATTATGACGAAATTATTTCATCAAAATGTTTGATTTCAGTTTTTATTTATAATGAGATCTGCATAATGTGTAGAATATTTTGGAAACACATAAACCAATCTATCATTATCATTAAGCTCATTTACGAATACTATGCCTTGGGAGAAACGTACCTGTGATCTTTCGCCAAAATTGAAAATCCAATTAAATGAAGTTCCCAAGTCTGATTTTTTCTACGAAACTAATGAAGTAATGTAGTACATGTATCATGAATTGTTAAGATATGAATTTAGTTGATTTCAGAAAGTGATTAGGATTTATTGTTAATGATATTTTGTGAGTACACTGTAAGTCGAAAAAAAAAAACACATTTTGTGTTGATCATGTAGCAAGTGAGAGGGATAATTCCGTTTTTCTCATTTATGAGTCATATTGTCATAACTTTTTATCACACCAAAACGTTAAGTTAAATAATTTAATTATTTATAGCATTTAATGGTGATTTTCAATTCAACTTTATAACTAGTATGTCAAACGTATTTGTCACATCAATTTAATCTCAGGATTAAAACTACTTTTACTATACATGCAGCGCACAGACATTCTTCATGTAAACATGTCGACATTACATTCACAAAATTCAACAACAGTCAAATGCAACCGTTTTAAAATTTACACAAAAAAAACCGAAAAGGTTTAAAATGTTTAAAAAATATGTCGCACATCTTATTGCCTAAAAATCTTGAACGAGACTTTAAAATCGGAGGAAACACTGTAGCATATTTCAATGTTGCACGGGGTCTTGATATGATGAACAATTTTACCAACTTACATCAGTTTCCCTTTTTTACGTGACAAAGTTTCAGATGGGATAAATATGGCAGGAAAGACTGACTGGTGAATTCGAAATTTGACTTTGCTCATTGCCCATTCAAAATGTGATATAAGAAAAACTCTGTTCAATACGTTATAAATGTTATATGTTATAAAAACTCAAGCAGTGTTTTCCTTGTGTACACGTTTTGGTGGAAATGAAAGGCAAATATTTAGATATTTAGATAATCTACTACATGTTTTAAATCTATGAAGATAAAAGAAGGTTCATATTACTTTTTTGTTTCCTTGTTTACAGACACGAAGTTAATTGTGTATACATTTGTATTTTATCATGAAAATCACACTAGTGAGACTACAAGGGAGATTTCTAATATCAAATGAGGCCAAATCAAACGAAATGTTATGGATTTACTTAATTGGTTAAAATTTCTGTTCAGTAAATCAGATTAACCCATTTGCTGTCTTTTTATATGAAAAACTAATCACATTTTTCTTTGTAAAATTGCAATATGTATCTTATTTCATTGAGCTGATAACAGATAGCGGAGAAAGAAAGTAAGATTCCGTTGGTAAATCATGTAAATGAGAAACATGCATTATTTTCTTTGGTCTTTTGTTTGCTGTTGTCATACAATAATTCTATTTAAGATTGACTATTGTCACGAACGTTTGCAAAATATATAAATATAATAAACTTGACAGTGTAGCTGTTTAAAAATACAATTATTGCAATTAGTGTTCACAATGGATTTGATAATATTTTGTATAGTTCTAACCTTTGGAACTGTGTTTTCTGCACCTGCAGGCAATCTTTATATTCCCTTACTTAAGCTGATTCCGAACGATAACACTGAGTTGGAAAATGAGTCGGATAATCAGTGTGTTACAAAAGAACACATAAATGCAATCATTGGTAATCTGTCAAATCATTCGAAGGATGCTATAGGGATCAATTATGCCACGAAAGCTGATATAGCCGAGTTGAATAGAAAACTAGATAACATATCTGCGATGATCATGAAACAGATCAAACAAAAAATGCCAATCGACTGTGAAGATAGTCAAAAGGAAGATTACCGAACAACTGGTGTCTATACAATATACCCGTACGGAGGACCGAAAGGGATATCTGTTCGATGCGATATGGATACATCGATTGGCGGATGGACTGTAATTCAAAGAAGAGTTTCCGATAGTAATTTTTATCAAAATTGGGATATGTACGAAAGAGGGTTTGGTGAACTAGACGGAAACTTTTGGCTTGGTAATCGCTACATTCACCTGATCACAAGTCAGGCAAAATACGAACTTCGTGTTGACTTGGTGAGTTCTACTGGGGACACGGCCTATGCTGAGTACAAAGAATTTTCGGTTGGAGATGTCTTGTCTAGCTACAGGCTGTATGTTGACAAGTTTAGTGGTACAGCTAGTGACAGTTTATCCTATCATAATAGAATGCCATTTTCTACCTTTGATCGGGACAATGACCAAGGCGGCCAGAACTGTGCTGTGATACGTCACGGTGCTTGGTGGTATAAATCGTGTCTTGCTTCCAATCTCAATGGAGACTATGGTAACACTAAATCAAGCATAGGACCTATTTGGTACCCCTGGAAGGGAGATACAGACCCTATGAAGAATATGGAAATGAAAATTCGCCGAGTAAAATAGTTTTGCATGTATTATAAAGCAGTAACTCATCATACTTTTATGTCATAACACTACCTGTATGTTTGATCTTTGTTTTAGAAATGTAAAAATGTGATCGCTAATTTGTAAAATACAGCTTTAAACGCATTCCTTAAATTCATGTTTAAATGCATGAAAACATATTTTATTTTTTAAATCTTTAAGTACAAAGTTAAAAGAATCTGTTAGATACTAGTATTGGGTAAGGTCTTTCTGCCCGTCTTGCGATTGTCACTGCTTGACCAGTCCACCAGTCTTGTCCTGTCTTAGGCAATAGTGGGATCATATGGTGAAATAACTGTTCACTTTGTGACTTGACACTATGAAACTATTCTTTTCAATTTAAGCTATGGACCAATCTTCAAGCATCAAAATGGCTACCATTTTCGAGATGGCCGCCAAGATGGCTTCTATAAGATGAAACAATTAGTGACACTGAAAATACTGTGAATTCATATATTTTTATTAAATTTATTAAATTCATGTTGCATACATATAAATCAGTGTTTATTTCTTATAAGTATTTGAATTTAAGTACTACATTTATTTAACATGTCTTTCAAAATGGCCGCGTAATGCACAAAAAATGTGTTTTTAAGTTTAATAAATGATGTATTCATTACTTATATTTTGACTGTGTATCACTCGCAGCCATAGATACGTTTAACAAACCAAGAATATTACTAACTACACCGTAAATAATCACTTATACCCTGAACTTCGCCAATAAGTCTATCCTCGGTCATAGTCTCCACCACACAGATCAACAGTTGTGCACAGCAGGTCAGCTTTGATACGTTTGCATCTTCCACAACCAATCTGGGTACTTCAACTACAATTCAGTAACTCCTGGCAAGACTCGACTGCCTTTTGTAATGTTGTCCAGAACGACTCCCATGTATTATCCTGACCTTTCATCCAACCGCAGTTACTTGGACAATGAAGTTCGGGGAGGGCAAAAGCGGAACATTCAGTTTAAAGAAATCGATTTGATTTGATTTTATTTATTAAAAAGTCTTTAGGCCTCCTACTATGCTCTTTTTGACCGGAGCTAAAATGATTTAACTGTGGCTTAAATCATATTCATGCGGGAGCTAAAATATTTCTAATGAATGAAATAAGAGCGTTAAAAGCAGGCCTTTACGCTTACACATAAGGGAATTTGAGGTAATTCACAGTCCCACATTATTTTATGTGAAGCTGGGTTCACATGGTTTTATGTGAAGTTGGCATATTTTACAAGCTGGGAAATGTGAACTTGTACACTTTTTTCAGTGAAGTCTGAGTTGTATATAAGCTGGCGTTAGTTCATTTGCAGGGATACACATTTAAACAACGTGCCAAGTACAGTTTTTATTCAATAAACAACATATCTTTAAGGTACTTAATTATTTTCTTCAAGTCTTTACGAAGAATTATCATTTTTTGATAGGTGATATTTTAAGTATTGTGATGTGTTGTTGACGTAAGATGTTCTTATATTAATTTCTCATGAAATATAATTGTGATTGACTGTTGTAAGAGAATATTATATTTGCGTTTATAAAATTAATAAATTTTAGTTTTATGTTTACTGCAAGACTTAGTTTTTAATATATCAAGTGGTTTATCACAAGACTTAGTTTTAAATAGAAAGTAAAGCTAAAAGCTGACCAATATCACTACAGTACTAATAACAGTTATTGCCAATTGTTATTTAAGTTCGGAATCCAAGTCTCGAGCTACCATTTGTGATTGCCTGATGTCTGTGTCCAAATACCGTAACAATATATTCTATTTACTTTTTGCCTGTACGTCCATCTGACCGTCTCTTCAATAACTTCATCTAGTTCAAAATCTTACGACCAAAATCTATTTTAAGAGAAATCTTAAGATAAATCTTCTTTTCACAAGATATCATAAAAAGTCTTAAAAGCAAAATCTGTCGTACCTTTACGATAGGTGTTCCCCATTCATTAGTGTATTTAAATTTTAAGAAAAAGATCACGTATCAGAACAGAAGCATATTAAAATGGAAGGGCAAATATTGACTATATGCAAACAATATGTTGAATACAATCACAAATTAACTTAATTTTTTTCAACATTAATATTTTTGACGTCATGATTTGATTATGTCATGGAAGAGAGCGCTTTAAAAAATAGTTCACAATGCGTCATTTAAATGTAATAACTGTTAAACTCTTATCAAATTACCAAAGGATTTACCCCCTTTCTGCACTAAGATGGCGACATTAGGTGCTCTCTGTCTGTGGCGATCACAGGGACATACCTTGGCGTTTTTTAAGTAGACCCTATACGCCAAGTTCAAGTATAGAATGTAGGAAGTTTAAAAATAATTCAAAATTTTTAGAAAATTAGAAAATCAAAACATTGTCAGATACCCTGTATTGTAATCAAATTGTTTATCTTTTCTTTGTTTCTCTCTTTCTTATTTGTTTGTTTTTTGTTGTTTTTTTTTTGTTTGTTTTAACATACCTGAACATGAGATATAATCAAGGAAAATATCGCTTTAAAAGTTATCTGTTTGACGTTAAAACAAACACTACAAGGTCCTTAAAAAATTATAATATTACAAGTGTGCAATATGTCAGCAGAGACTAATTTTTTTAATATTTCTTCCTTAACTTTACCCTTTCAAATTTCATCGAGTTAATATTAATGCCTTACTAGTCCGGCTACATTTGACTAGCACATAAAATGTTTTTGGTGTAGATGAGGTAAAGGAAGATGAGGTGTTTTAAAAATGTTGACTCTGTTACCCTTGAGCAATTTCCGACAAAAACAAGATGGTGATCAAGATGGCGACTATTGATGAAAAAAAAAATAAATAGGTTAAGATTTTGTTTTGAAATATAAAAATAGTAAAAGAGATGATACTGTTATAACTGAAATTTTGATGAAGTTGAAAATATCTTTTTCAACTCATGTATCACATACGATGATATTATTGAAAGTGTGAAAGCTTTAAATTTACAGAAGGCAATATGTGGCCCCTTGTTCCACAACACTTATTAAACGGCCAAAAGTTGTGCTACCGTCTATATGTAAGTTGTTTAATAGATTGTTCTCAAAAGATGAACTTCCAAAATTTTTTGGCCAAATCTATTATTATTCTGATACATAAGAAAGAAAGTTTAAATGACTAAAATAATTATAAAGGTATAGCTTTGCTAGATGTTCTTCATAAAGAGTGTTTTTCAATAAATATAAAAGAAGGCAAAAGCTATGAACGGGGAAGTCAGGTAAAACAAAAAAAAAAAAGTTCATTTTTAATTTTACTTTTTCCGTTTTAAAGGCGTCATTCGGTATTTCATGCACCGTTTCCCTTTTCATTTTGAACATCTCGACAGTTATTCTAAAGCCAAAAGGTTGCGTGTGTTCCGTTATCCAGTGTGGCAATACCACGTGACATTGACGTCATTTTCGGCATCATTTCCAAGACAAATGTTGCTCGATTCGGAAAAGAAAATAGCCGTAAATATGTTATTTCTGTACCAATTTCTTTGGGATATGCACCAGTCTACGGGGAAAAATATAAGCTTTCCATAGAATATTGGATCTTCGTCAGTTTATAAGCCGTTTTTTCAAACACTTTGCCTAACCTTGGAAGTTGCTTGTATTAGAGCGGGCTTCAGTTGCAAGCTATTTCGTTTTCTGGCGTTATCTGGTCTACTCCATGATTAAAAAGTCAGGTTTACATCAACCGGGAGTACGGAAGGCAAAACTCTACCTAAATATGTTCATATTTTTATTATGAATGACATAAATCTTGCATTTTTCTTCAATTGTCAATTCTGGCACCAGTTCCAAGTCGAAAAAAAGGACTACAGTTTAAAGCAGATTTTAGAATCCGTTGCAAATGCAAAGCAGCATGCCTACCGTTCTCTTTCTATTATTATGTTAACCATGAAAAACATTTTATTTACTATACGATTAACATAAACACAAATGAATATTTAAATGATTTTTACTCGCTGCTCTATATAAGTGATTTTAAAAGTCGTAAAATGTGGTCTGTATTTGTAAAGAAATTGATTTGCTCTTTTCACGGTAATGATTGTGAAAAATCTATTTGTGTCATGTAGCAATACTAAACGTGGAATAGAAAACAGAAACCCTAAATATCGCCCAAAACGGCAAAATTGAAAATGTTTCAGGCTCTGATTGACTTAGCTAGCCTGTCCAATGAACGTGCACATTCAGGATCACTTCGATTTGTATGCTGTGAAAAGGGTTACGCCTCAACGCGGCAATTTTAAAGTCAAATGTTATTCTTTTGTAAAGAGCCTTTATATATATATATATATATATATATATATATATATATATATATATAAAGAACCTGTAGCAATCTTTTAGTATGATAGTTAAGCTTTTTAACACAGTGGCACTCGTTGATAAAAATATTTTTACATCCTGTTTTCATACCCACGGTAACCGTTTTTCGTGAACTGGATAAAACTTCGTTTACTTAAGAACACTATTAAACCCTATCTATTTTATAATTGCATTTATTTCTGTTGATGAACTGCATATCTGACAAATTTAGTTAATAATATCAGTCAACTCAGCTTTATCAGAGAGCTCACCAATATAAACATTGTAAAGAGAGAAAGTGAACGGAATATTTATGGTTTGAAAACATTTAAATCGAGTAGAACTTTTTAACAATAATGTCTCTTTCAACTGAATAAAAACGATAGGGCTATTAAGGACAATTTCTTATCGATGTGGTCATTGGCTATAAATGCATGGATTATTGCACGCGGCATGACCTGCAGATGTCCTCAACAGGCTTTTTAAAAAATTGTAGCATTTTAAGATTTAAAAAAGCATCGCACATTTAAATCTAAAACATGATAAACATGACGCATATACTAAATAAGTGAATTATCTGATATGTAAATAAAGAAGTAAGTCATTTGACAGTTGAAGGATAAAAAATGAATATACTCTTCAAATGTAATCGTAATTTTACTAAGCTTATGTTAGCTATATCAATTATTCAATGGACGCATCAGTGGCATATGGACCCCAGTCATAGATCTTGCCGATGTTGCTATTACAGATGTTAATGTAAATATTTATATAATTATTGATAATCATTGTTATTTTTGTGTTTTTGAATGTTTTGTGTCAAGAAATTTGACTGTGATCGATGGCTGTTGCTTTGTAAAATCATTTATCTGTTTACTATTTTCTACTTTGTTTACTCCACATGGCGTCCATTCTCGTTCTTATTCATGGCTATGTTGGGTCTTTTTGATAAATAGAGAATCATAAGTAATGCAACTAAGTAACAATACTATCAGATTTACAAGGCAAAGTTCCAAGTTCAAATTGTGTTTTAGTTTATCAAACTCTATAGAACTTTATTATACAACAATTCCAGAAAAAATATATACCTTTTAAAAGTCTCTCTTTTGAGGACAGAATAACCTATTCGTCACATTCACGAGTGTCAGTATTTGTCAGTTACTCTTTTTAAAAATAAACT